AGGTGGTGGAGATATATAAAGAGAGTCTCTCGAGTAAAACGCATCCGAACGCTTATGGTCTGAACGTTTCCTTAACACGCATTGATAAGTAAGAGTGTCCGTTAATAAAGCGATAATAAGTTATCCGTAATCAATCGCAGATATCAATCGCCCGATGACGTCGGGGATTTGAACACAGATGGGCGAGACTGAACTAGCGATAACTAGCGAGAGTATACAGATCGAGCGGTATCGATCGAGTAATTTAGGAGGGGTGACTAGCGACAACGGGTTCGGAAGTAGGGTCGAAAGAGGCGTAAAATATGATTAAAGAGGGTTAAAATAGAGAATCGAAGAGCAAAAAACTGGTCCCCGCCTCCACGCCGCGCATTAAGCTTACCTTCCGTTAATTAGTGCGATCTTAATGGGCGGTGCGCTGCTTCTTAACTCGGTTCTCAGCGCGCGTGTGTATGCGTGTGTGTGTGTGTGTACGTGTTTATTTATTCGCACACTTGCGTGTGCGTGCACATGCAATCAACGTTAAGTCTAATTGTCAAGCCGCGGTCGGCCGTTCTCTCTCTCTCTCTCTCTCTCTCGCAGGAAACGGAATGTCTCGTGTAATGTAGAGAAGCAGCGAGCGGGGGATTCACTCCTTAGCCGCGTACAAAGTGGAGGAGCCAATTCGCGTGTCGCTCCACTTTGGCGTACAGTCGCTATTCCGTGCGCGGATATCTATACATATTACAGATGCATATACATTTACATATATATCGTACATATACACAGACATGTCCGTTTATACTCGTAAATATAGCCGCGCTCACGCGCATGTCCGCTGCTATGTTAATCGTCTCGTTTTGACTAACATATAACGCACGGAAAGAAAGAAAGAAAGAAAGGAAGAAACGACGAAGCCGGGGAGGAGCTCTCAATCGCTTCTTCTCCCGCCGAAAGGAACTATATACAGTGTTGTTTGTAGCGTTTATTGTTCGTTGACTGGTCCGTCGGTGATCTCGCATTATTGCCCAACGAGCGTTTATAGATCGCGTTTCGAGTTGATACAANATACAATGGGGGGGGGGGGGGGCAACGAGTCCGCTGCCAATCTACATTTTCACAAGCGTACATTGCGAAATCCGCAAATTGCTCTCGCGTGTAATTCCGTTTCTCTTTAGCGTGCGCCGGCGCGCGACGGTCAACTCGACTCCATCTCGAAAACTAAGACGAAACGCAATCTAATATACCTCGAGATCGTTGAAGGCTCTATACCATTTCTTCCTTTGCTCTCTATGTTTCGATCATTGTTCATTTAATCCTGGAATGGAAAAATTCGCGCTCCTTATCTCGCAGCCGGCGATATCTCCGTCGCGATGAATTAAGCGGAATATCCGTTGTCTCTCGCATTTCGGGGAAAGTTTTGCGCCACCGGCAAATATTTGCATTAGTCACGCGTTATCGTCCAATCGAAACCTCGACGGCAATTAACGGACCATTCCAAGATTAATATCGATGATCGGTGACTCCGGATCGCTCGCACGAATATACTGGACGAATCGGAAAGTTACGGTGATCTTCCGCTGGAAAGATTAATCGGTTCGTTCGCGACTCGAAGAGACTGATTAATGCAGTGAAATAATTTTCCTGCTTTCTGACGATTCTTTGCCAACGTTTCGGCGGCGAACGTACGTCTCGATCGGAAAAGACGACTGGTTTGTCGGAGAACAAAGAAACGTAGTTTTCTCTCTCTCTCTCTCTCTTAGTGGCACATGTGGCACTTCAACGTGGGTCTTCGGATTCAAGTTTCCTGAAAATGGCCATATGAGTTTTCGCAGACGCTGCATTCATTGTTTTTCGGCTCTCTTCCGCACCAAAATTCGTGAATTGCGAATGTTGTCCGCCACTTCCATAAATCTTCCGGAACATGTTTCTTCGTTGAAATGTTTTATATAAATCGTCTTTCACGCGTCTGAATAGATACAGCGCTCCGTATGTTACGCGAATGTTTTTTTTTTATCTCTTTACGGCGATTGGAAACATTTGAAACATCCTTGTGATTCTCATATTCCGCGAGAGGCCGAAAATATGCTTTTTCCCACTGCGCTCGTTTGATCCGAACTATTTTAAAGTAAGCTTCGTCAATGAAATTCAACTAGACGCTTAAAACGCATCCAGGGACTCGACTTTTCCGATACTATGTAATTCAGTGACATTTGAAACATCGTTGCCACACTTTGGCACTCGTAATGCAGTCCATCGAAACACCGACGCGGCTTTTTGACTCGTCCAATATAACAATCCGTGTCGCTCTCTCGCGGAGTCTCTCTTTCTCCCTCTCTCTCTTTCTCTTTCTCTCTCTCTCTCTCTCTCTCTATAGAAAAATAAGTTTATTCTCCAGAAATACGCATTGTTCGTCTCGAATGCGCTGCACTCGACCGCGGCTTCTTTATCGACGAAAGGGTTTTTATTGTTCGACGACGCGGCGAAGTTAGCGACTAATAGCGATCTACCCAGGTACAAGTATCTCCTCCATCAAGCGTCTTGTTACGTAGAAACAATGGCTGCGGAACGAAGCACTTAACAAATGACTAGTGGCTGCGGTTCCGGAGAAGGAAACGCTTAGTAAGCGATTAGTGATCAACACTGTAGATCCGATTAGTGTTTATATCTTTAGATCTTCGTAGGATTCGAAAGTACGCGCCAATCGGATCCTCGAATTACTTGTCCGTCCGGCTTACTGAGCGTTCCGTTCTGCTGAACGCATGAACATGAATCATGAACCTAATTGATGCTATATTTTTGAGATCCACACGAGATACAAATGTATACACCAGCCAGATCCACTAAATTACTAACCTCTTACTAAACGCCTCGTGCGTAAACCGAACGCGGCTAGTGAATCTCCACGAAGAATGATCGTTGTTAGTAAATCTTTCCGGCTTTCTCGCCTAAGGCCCTGGCTCTGGAAAGCTGGCTCGCGTTTTCATCGTACGCCGAATAAACGCGCATAAATTGCGAACCAGTCGATTCTACATGCGCACGCCCGCATCAACAGCTGCGTTATCGGTAACCGTAATTAACCGTTCGGATGTTCGAGCTGACCGCGCGTTTCTCCCCGATTAAGGCGACGTCGGACGTTGCGGAGGGCTCGTAAATTCGTAGAAAAATATCGTCCCTGCGCGCGAGACGCGCTGGATAACATCTTCGTTATCGGAATTTCAGGGGTTTTCCGAAAGCACTCGACGAGTGAGAGATCCTGTCGGGCGGAAGCGGCGACCGAGATCGCGCCGCGATTTTCAACCGATTTTCGACTCGAAGGACGACGCGACGCGAACGAGCCTTTCGGAAGCTGCGCCTCCCCTCTCGCCAACCGCTATAAATATATATCTCATCGCTCTGTATACATATTATATACTTATACTCATAGGGTTGCGCGGCCCTTTGACGTTGCGGCGAAGGCGGGGACCGTCCGGCCTGCGTCCTGGGATGGCATGCACAGAACACAGCACAAAACGCCACACAATTACACAGACAGACAAATCGAGACAGAGAAAAAAAGATTTACAGAGATAGATAAGGTAGGCTAATAGATAAAAAAGAGAGAAAGAGAAAGAGAGAGAGAAAGAAAAAAGAGAGAGAGAGAGAGAGAGAGGCAAGTGGTAAGAAAAATCCGAACGAGAGAAAACGAGGGAGTAAATGAGGGTGAGAGGAGGAGGAGTTGGTGCGTCGAGAACGCAGGCGAGGTGCAAGAAATATATCTCAAGTAAAAAGATGTAGAAAATACGGGCGGGGTGATCGTACTCGAGTTACAAGGACGATTGCGGAATATCGTTTGCCCGTGTCAGCAGCAGAGTGAACGAAATCGACGCGATTGATATTTCGCGTGTGCCATTATATGCAAATCTAAAATAATTCGGAGACTGTATATAATTATCGGATGCTACGGATAATCGCCCGTATTATTATTCATAATCAGTCCGGTTAATTATTCATGATCTCCGGCGATTATGCGTAATCGCCCGTTAATCGAAATACCCGTAAATAATAGCGATAGAAAAAGAGACATTCGGATGTTTGACCTTTGACTGAAATATCGCGCGAACGAAAAAAAAGGAAAAAAAAAGAGTCGCGCAAAATACTCGCGATGACGACATTCCGTCGTTAATTTCGCACGAAAAAAACCCGTCGTTCGCGTCTGCTGCGAGCGAATAAACTCATTCGTTATCGTTCGACGTGTACGCGAGGAAATTCCTCTCGGGAATTATCGGAAAATAGCAGTAACGCCGAACGATTGTTATCTTGTTTAACGCGCAACGACCGTCCAAGTTATTTCCGACGTCGGTCCTGGAAAGGCGTCTCGTTTCGTTTCTCGGCAGGTTCCTCGCAGGAAATCGCTTCGGCGAATTGCATTATTTTTCGCCGATCCGATTCCGCGATTCGCCGTAAATCGACCCGGAGGAACTCGAGATCCGTTTGAAGAAAGAAGGGAACATCGCGCGCTTGATTCGCGATTCCGACAACGGATAAACAGCGAGAAACAGTCTCGAAAAGGGAGGCCGCGATTTTCTTTCGCGAAACTATGCAAAGCGGTGCGCGCGCTCGCTCGCGCACCGCTTGAATAAAATAAGTAACAACATTCGCCCGAGATAAATATAGCCCCGGCGAAACGCGACGGGATTGACGTCAATATGCGGAATGTCAAAATCCTCCCGGTCGATCTTTTGTGGCACACCCGCTTATCTCGCACGGATAATCAATGTATTTGTAGAACCGCCGGGAAACGAATCGTGGCCGCAATTTGGTAAAACGCAGATTCCGCGGAAATTCGAGGGAACGATCCGTGCGGCGCACACGCGCGACTCCTTTATCGAGGCGAATGACGCAAGTGCCAGGACGTCGTCGGTACGGTGAGACGGGTTGGTACGGCTGCACGCGGCGCCTATTATACACACACACGTATGTGTCGTACGTATATGTGTATAATACGTAGCGAAGAAAGCAAACATGAGGAAGTAAGGACTCACCTTCGGCATGACACCTCCGCCACCTCCACCACCTCCGCCGCCACCGCCGCCGCCGGGCGGTCCGCGAGACTGAGCCACGTAGAGGCTTTCGGTGCGCTTAGGCTGTCCAGGACTCGGCAGGATGTCCTGCCCAAGGCCTCGGTTCTTTATGAGGGCTCCTTCGAATTGGCTAGGAGTTGGCGCCGTATACGTCGGCGTCGCGGCGCCGCTGCCTACCACGGAGCCGTTCAGCGGCGTTCCCGCCCGGATCGCGCTCGGAGCTCTCGTCGATCTGTCAATCGCACAGAACGGTCGGGGGTAATAGATGGAGAACGAGTCATGAGAATTTCCAGCGAGGAATGAGTAGACGGATAAGGACATTAACTCCTTGACTACCGATGACGAGGATTCTCGTCATTGTGGTCGTTCGCGTTCGTTGCCGTGGCAATGCGTTTTCTCTCGTCATGGAATATTCTGTCAGAGCCTATAATAAGGATTTTATCACTACAAACTTTCATCGGTTTACGAGAATCTTCTGTTTTCGGCGATTTTACGACCGGTCGAAGAAAGCGGCGTGGCAGATTGATCTTTACTTCGACGTACCTTGGATCACATACTTGACGAGATACAACATTTTCTCGTGTTGCAAAGAATCAAACGCTCAAAGGCACAATGACAACAGTGGGGCGCGATGCAAAAATCGGCGCACAGGCGAAACCGATAAATTGGAAAGAAACGGAGAGAAAGGCAGAAAGAATCGGTGATACGTAAAACGGCATGATGTACGCTCGCGGGTAATAAATTGATTCGTTGTAAAAATATACCGCTCGCGCGCCACGTCACTCACCTGTCGAGCATGTCCGTGGGTGGATTCGGTATGGTTTTGTCGACGGACGGTTGTCTCGATCCGGTCAGTCGGGAATGCGCTCTCGCGTAACGATCCACGGAACTGTCGCGACTAGGTGGCCTCTTATAATGATCCAGCCTGCGAAACGTAACGCGATTGATTACTCGCCAACTCATCAGCGTGACGTTTGAAATTCCGCGTGTCGCGGAAAAGAAGGTAATACGTAAAGGACCTGTCGTTTAACGTTTGGCCGATAGTGCCCGGTCGATCCTGAGGACTCAGCACTCGGCTGTTCCTTCGTAAGCTCGTAGAACTCGGCGGTCTCGTTCCGTCCGCGATCGCACCGTCGGGCTGATACTGCTGCGACGGTTGCTGCGTATACATCGGCTGCGAATTGTACTGATTCATCTGGCCGGGCCCGTACTGGTTCGGTACTGCCGTCTGAAATCGATTTCACGTTGCTCTAGCGGCTGCCAGTTGACTCGAATCGCGAGAACAAATACACTGGTCGGCTACTTCGCACATCGTGAGCCGACTCTTTGCGTTTCTCTTTCCCGAGCTACAAATCTGCGGTGACTAGAAACTAGGAATTACTAGGAACTCTCGTATACCCGGCGCTATCTGACTCTGTCATCGAAATCTATTTCAGCAGCTGACGGCGCCGTATTATCTAGATCTATCGAGGCATCCTGTATTTGTCCTGTCACTTGTGCGATGCGCGTCGTTAGGGACTACCAAAATTCTGCAGGCTCATCGGGTAACGCGGGTGCAGCCGCGCGCAATCGTGCGTAGTTTGTTCAAGAGAAAGACGGGATGGGGTCAGTTGGGATCGTCGAATCCAATAGCAGTTTTGAGGTGCACGAAGGTGTTCCAACTCGAGATATGTGCGTCACTCAAAAAATGACGTGGGGGGGTGAGAAAAGAAAAACGTTGGTTATACGGACGGGGCTCGGTTAACGATTGACCATTAGTAACAATCGCTGATGCTGGGTTAAGTGCGAAGTATATTGCTCGCAGGCGAAACCAAACCGCAGAAGGGGAGGTGAGGGGAGGAGAGAGATCGTTGGGGGTTGCTTACACCGTAAAGCTGCGCTCCAAATTGATTCATTTGGGCGAGTGTCGTCGGATCGTACGTAACTGGCGGTTGCGGACTCAACATCTAGAAAGAAAGAAAGAGAGACACGGCATTGGCGTGGGGCGTTCGTAGATCATGACGACGCGCTAGATAAACGCGAGACAGGAAAGCTGCGCGCGCGAATCATCGGCGAGAGGAGAAGCGGCAACGAGAAGTCGCGCGGAACACCGCGTGCGAAATCACCTGCTGCTGACTGGGATAAGCCTGCAAATTTTGGAAGCCGATCGGTTGTTGCTGCTGCTGATAACCGGGGTACTGATCGACCTGTGGCGGATTAGTCGGCTGATACTGCGTCTGGTACGGACTGCCCTGGCCGTACTGGTGCTGTTGGACGTACTGGTTCGGCTGATACTGGTTCGGTATGCTGTTGGGGTACTGACTCGTCGGCACCGGGTTCTGCGAGTACTGCTGGTACGGATTCAGCGTGGTCTGCGCGTTCAGCTGGTTCATCGGCACCTGGTTCGCCAGCGGCACCTGGTTCGGTATCTGGTTCTGCATCGGCGGCAGCTGACTCGGCGGCTTCATGCTGGCCCTGCGTATCGCTTGCATCACGCTGCTGGCGGTGGTGCTCGCCGCCGCGACGGTCACGGCCGGCGTCGCGTTCGCCGTCGTGCTTGTCGGCGCCGTCGTCGCGGAGTCGACGGTCGACGAGGCGCTCTTCATCGGCGTGGCCCCCGGCTGATCGACATTCGCTGTCTTGTGGAGGATACTCTTCCCCGGCACGGTGTCCTGCGGCGGCGGCACGTACTTGGGTATCTCCCGGTTCCGCAATCTCTCCAGGCCGGGTTGTCGGAAGTCCGGCGCGAATTGCTTCGCCGTCTGCTGCGCCAGCTCGGAGTCCTCCCGAGCGTGCTCGGCGGCGATGTCGGCCAGCTCGGCCTTGCCTCGCGCCGTCGCCGTCCTGGAGATCGCGATGTCCGCCTTCTGCAGGGCGATTTTGCTCGCCCTCTGGGCGGCGTTCACCGCCGCCTCTATCCTCTCGCGGAACTTCGCCGACCTGATCAGGAATAGGTGCTTCTTCTTCTGACTGGTGATCAGCACGTTGTTCTTGTACTTGCCCTCCTCCTTGCTGCCGTCGCGGAACGTAGTCACGCCGTATCCGTACTTTCGGTTGTTGAACCACTCGCCCTCGTACCGCAGCCCGTCGCTCCTCTCGGATATGCCGAAACCGGTCCTCTTATCGTTCTTCCATTCGCCCAGGTACGTCTCGGTCACCGACGCGTCCATCTGTTCGTCCTGCGAATCGACGTCGCTTTGGTTAGTCGGCCACCTTCGAATTGTGCAGTCGTGAAAGTTCCTCCCGTTTTTCCACCCTTTCACTACCACGCGTCGCTACGGCAGCTTCCCTCTGAATATATGCACAGGGTGTTGCATCGACGTATTGAACAGTATGCCGGGTTGACGCTGCGAAAGCGCGTACGAGAGAGTGAGAATGCGCCGCGCAGACTCGGGGCCGGCTGCACGCGCACTCTCACTCTCTCACACGTGCCTTTACAACGGCAACCCGGCGTATTGCTCAATATATTGCCGCAACACCCTGTATACATCACATATGCACTCAATCGCCTATCATATTTCACCTAATTCGTATGGTAATAGACTCAAGAGCTAGAACTTTCGAGTTTTTTCCCATCAGGAACAACGCGTTTTTCCTAATGCGATATTAATGCAACGCTATAAATTAATCGTAACGTAATTTAACGTAAAACTGAGAATGCTTCGGGTACAATCGCCGAGCGCGATTTACAAATATCGAAATATCGAATCGCGTTCCGCTGCGCGTACAGCGGGGCTTTTGCCGTCAAAGGGCAATATTTCTTCGATTCCATTTGTATTCAAAGCACGATCAACCGGGTGATCAGCCGTATAGCCGAGATCGTTTACAGGCGGATTAAACGTGCTGGGAAATTTTTTATGGAGGAAACGACATTCAAATCCGCTTGGAATCCCGAATCGAGTCGCCGGGAGAGAAAGAAGTGGCGTGAACTCCTACCTCGATGACGAAGGACGCGTTACTGTCTGTGTGGACCGACGCCGACGCTTGGCTCTGCGAGCTCTCCGTCGACATCCACGACGCCGAGCTGGCGTTACTCCTAATACTGCCGCCGGTACCGCGCTTCTCCAGGTCGCCCGTGCTCCTTTGCTTTCGTATCTTGAGGCCCTGCACCGAGAAGGACACTTCGGTTACTTCGACAACGGCGAACGACTTTCCGTTGATCACCGCGAGAGATCATCTTACCGAGAGGATACCCTTCTTCAGGGACTTCTCCGTCAGGCTCTTTCTCCGAGCGGGTGGGTCGTCGCTCCTGGCCTTCAGGACGAAGCCCCCTCGGCTGTCGTCCACGCGACGGTCCCTCCTGTCGGTAGGCTCCGGCGTCGGTGCGACCACCGGCCCTCCGTCCGCGCTCCTCAACGACGTCAGGGACGCTCTCACCTGCTTCGGCGGCTTGTAGTGACTCGCCAAGCCGAACGGCGCGCTCGCCCTCACGCCGTACCCGTGCCGCATACCGCGGAGCCATTGACCTTGATAAGTCCCTGCGATAGATCATTGATATAACGTAATTAACGGACGTGAAAACGGAAATGGAAGTAGAAATGGAGATGGAACGTTCCATCGGCGAATCGCACGCCACCCCATGTCCATTAAGGTTGATGAAGTAGTTTCTATGGGATTAAGGCGTGCGAGTCTCTCTCTCTCTGCCTCTCTTCTCCTTCTCTCCACGTGGATTAATATACGTTAACTGCGAAGTGGCACCGCAGACCGCCGAGATAAAGTCGCGATAGTTCGGCAGTAGCGACGAAAAACACGCGAAGATTAAGGAATGCCGTACTTGAAAGTTCCGTCGACAGAACGTTGATTTTTCTGCAACGTTTACGTCTTATCGGCTCCCCGGTAGAAATGTATGCAGGTTTCCTAGACACCCGCCCAGTTGCTGTCTAGTGGTAATGCATTTTCATTATACTAAGTGGCCAAAACGATTTATTGAGAATGATTGCCGTTCGTCGGATTATTTTGCTGGATCTACAAATTACTTTTCTATAAGAACAAATTAGTAAATGTAGGAAAACGATATTTTGTTCTAACAGCGAATTAACGTGTCCTAAGGACGAAATTCATTCAGCGGAATCTTTTCTGTCCCGTCAGCAGAACCGTTTCTGCTCTAATTATGAACAATTCGCTAATTCGATTGTGCCAATTAAATTTCATTTCTGCCGCTATGAATGTGCAATAGCAACGATAATTTCGCTACGATAATAAAATTATTTTTCCCACGTGCATTTATATCGCACCTTATATTTACGTAAGATCTATGCATGAACGAAAAATACAAAAAGCGTAAGCGTGATCGTGCGTGTTTATGTAACATCACATTTTGAGGATCGTCTCTGCGTTGTCAAGTTCGGCTTCGGCATTTTCAGAAGAGCCGAGCGGGAGAGCGCGGAATGCACGCGGGAAAGATTCGTCGCGTGTATCGAAAGTCGCGCGCGTCAGTCGATTACGACGAATGCCCGGGGGTTGCCTGCACTCGGTAATAAGGCGTATTTGTTTTTGCCAAAACGTGACCGTGTTTCAAAATGTCTCGCGTGAGTCACGGCGTACGAGGCGGACGGTTGCGCGTGCCCCGCTCAGGGATGTGGAATGCATTCGCGTGCGCGTGTGGGCGCGCGTGCTTTTTCGCAGAACGTGCGAATTCCAAATCGATGAAAAACTACCGGAACGGATGCGCAGGACGCGTATCTCTTGCCGCGGCAAAAAATTGCCGCACGGTAACGCGGAAAAAGTAACCTTTCCCGTTTCCGAGCTCGGAACAAATTTATTACGCGTCGTTACGCAGCGGCGTTTTATACACACACACGTGAGTTTTATTCTGTATTTTTAACGGATATGTCAATGTTTAATATATTACGTTTAATATATCATCGTCCGCGTAGCGCAATCGAGAAAGAGAGAGAGAAACGCGTATAGAGAATCCTGATTTTTAATTCATCGTGCGCGGGGATGTCGCGAAGAGCGGCCAGCCGCTCGATGCGTGTTCTACTTTGCATATGGAGAGAAAGAAAGAGCATAAGCTACATTCTTCCGAAAAAAAAAAAAAAAAAAAAACATGCCATTCCGCGTTCCGAGCAGCCAGCGTATCCCTGGACACAGTATCGCGATCGCAGCGAAAAGTTTCGGCCGGCGTTTATTGGCATGCTAAACAAGTCCGTGATCGCTCGAATGCACCGCGACGCGTCGACGTTCGGTGCGCCGCTGTATGCAACGAGCTTTTCTTCTCTCCGGCACGGTCGAGAGGCAGGCGCGTTTCGAGCGCGTGCACACGGTGTGACGAGGAAATACGCAATATTGAAGCGGGCCCGCTCGTCATTAATGCCGACGGAATTAGTATCGGGATTAATCCCGGTGATCGGGAAGCCTTTTCGCGAGCAAACGCCGCCTCTTCCTCCGACGTCGTGCCATCGCCCGGAGCGGCTCGCAAATTCGATTCGCGCCGAGAGGAATCTGTCATTAACAGGCATGACGGTGTCGACGGGATACCCTATACACGGCGACGCCCGGCGTCTCCCCTCTTCTCGCGACGTCGGAATATTATTTCGCCAGCGTTTAAGCAAGTGGGTCACGCCGGCGGTTCCCGGCGCTCGCAAGACGCCAATGTATACGAATCCTCGAAATTGCCACCGCGGCGACTACGGTCTGAATGCACACCGTGCGCTTTCAATTAATTTTTAGGCACGGCCGCGAGCACGACGACGCCGTGAAAAGAGCGCGAGTATGTGTGCGGCTGAGTGTGAACGTTCGCGAGCGTTCAAACATTACGTTCCCCTCGAGCATTCGAAGGCGAAGCGTTTCTGCCAGCTGTGTGTGTGTGTGTGTGAACTAGCTGCCGGATCGACGGGGTAACGAGTTTTCGCTCGGCGATTTTTCGCCAAAGCTCGCAAGCGCGCCTGTTACTGCGCCGCGTGCAATTGGCTCTCCGCGCGCGAAACACCGTCGACTCCTTCCGCGAGAGAAAGAGCTCTCAGAAGCGGTAACTTAATTCTTATTACAGAAGCGTTACACACACACACACACACACATACGCACGTGCGAAAGTAGACCAATTATATCGGATCATAGTAAACGGAGCGATCGATTTTCTCGCTTTAAAATGTACTCTCTGAAACAACGACCTGGCACTTTTACCTATACTTTTTCTCACCGCATCGTTTATGTGTGTGTGTGTGTGTGTGTATGTGCCTGTGTGTGCAATTTTTTATTCTATCGCACACAGAGAAAGAAATGCTAAGATCAAGTGAACGTAATTGTTTGTTTTCCAGCCTCTTAAATTATGTAAGATTTTGATCAATTTAAATCTATTAGCTCGTAATGAATATTTACTTGAACGCGATACTAATTTATAAATGAATCACCGAATGTCAGTGTGAAATTTCCAATATTTAAGAGAATGTTTACTAGAATTATGAAATACTTTCTTTTTCCCATTGAATAAGCCGAGTGGTTTTAAATTACGATTTTTTTGTCCAGTAAATATTACCTAAAAATAAATTCTGTTATCCGCAATATTACGAATTTAATATTTGTTGCGATTGTTTCAACAAGTTAATATCCACTTATTCGAAGGAAATATCATATTGTACACGGAGAACATAATTTATCCAACCATATATCATATTATTCGTACCAGAAAAATAATTGAAATTATAATGCGTATTTTGTGACCGTTAGTGATGTGCTCCATCGTGTATCATCATTAAAGATCACAGCACAGATAATAATTTCAGTCATAAATCCGATATGATCCAACATTACGAAATTCTGTCTCAGCTCTCACCATACAATATTTTCTCCGTGTATATAGTCAATTAGATTTCTACTTCCGGTAAATGTTTGTCAACGAGAGCGTCGGGTTTTAAATCACTTTGCTTGAATCAAGTCAATATTACCTGAACGGTGGCACTTTTTTCAGTGTGCACACTTATTAATCCTCAGCGGATTTGACCCGGGTCAGTTCGCGCGGTTGACGCTCGTGTGGAGGTAATCGAGATAGGAAGTATCGTCGTCGACGGGGGGGACGAGCAATTTCCAGATGGCACGACGAATCTCGAGCGAGCGCCTCGACGTGGCCGTCCAGACGCCGCCGAGTCCGAGGGGGACATTAAACGAGCGGTACTACATTGTACCTGGGAAAAGTGGATCGCGCGCCATCATGTATCGATTCGCCTGCCCGTCAGCAACGACCCAGATTAATTATTGTCGAGCTTCTAATTCCCGCCGGGCGCGTGAATTTGCGCCGCGACTTTCGATGGTGCTCCTCGCGCGCCCGAGATTAATCCACTTTAATGAGCGATCCGCTCCATGCGGATTAGTTTCGACGCGGATATTTTCGACTTCAGCCCTGCGCCGCGAAACATCCGTTCGTTTCGAGCGCGGCTCGCTCGCGCGAATTAATTATGAGCCCCGCGGCGTCTCATCAGTTCGATATATTCGACTCGATGAACGATACGCACCCGTCCGGGTGCGTCTGCGAACGCAGCTGGAATGCGTACGCTTGCGCAACGCTTTTATAAATCGCGTTAAATCCGGCGCTCTCTCGCGCTCTATCGCAATTATCCGCCGCCACGTGGAACGATCGATAGTCCGGCACGAAATTGTTTTTTATTCCCCGCCGCTCCGCGTCTCCCAGTACGGACGTTTCGGCTCGTCGGGACAGGTTTAGCGCGGAAGAGGAGCCTTCCTGCCGTATGTCTGTCATGCGGGAAGAGCGCAGGGCGAGGGAAGATTCGCGACCGAACTGGAGCACGGCTCTCGCTTGTCGATACCTCTCTAAGCCCGTAAAAAATAATCATCTCGAGCGACTTGGGCGCGCGGAAATTTCTCGCCGATATCCCGCCCATCGTCTGTCGTCCGCGCTCGTGTTTTTTTTTTCTCCAACACGCTGTGTGTGAGTAGGATCTTTCACGGATCGGACGGACGAAGGCGGCGAAGGTGGCCGCGGGAATAATGTACAGGGTGGACCGAGCACACCGCACGGCCCTGATTCGCTACATGGCACTGGCTAGCCCGCCTGAAATAGCGCGGCCATCTGCCGAGATGGTGGTCGGTTGCACGTGCATCGGAAAAGGTTTCGGTGTTGGTGAGAATTGGCCGTGCGAGTGTATTTCGGTCCGCAGCCTCCACCGGATCGTCACAAACCACCCTACACGAGCTTGTCCGCCGTCCCATCTGTCTTTTTGGGTACGCCCCGCTACCTGAGACCACTATCGGGAGTCCTGATCCTAGTGTATCCTAGACTCCGGTCTATGGAAGGCTCTTTTAACCCTCGCCGTCCAGCCGCTCTGGGACTTTGTATAACCTGAGACTTCGTGCAACCCGGAGCCATGTAACCTGCGGTCGTTTCTGACCTCACTTTATAATTACGCATCTTACATTGGAAAAAGGAGTTTTCGATGTATGGATAAAAAGGCTTTTAACGTATAAACATTGTTCTTGAAATCAAAAGTTACTGTTTTAAAGTTTGGATAAAATTCAGGGTTTC